ATTCAGTTATTTTGTATTGAATTAGGGTTTTTTTAACGATTCATTTTAGTATTTCCATACAAACATAATTACTAAACAGTAGCATAAAATATAGTAAAGTGCGGAAAGTAAAGGCAGAAACGTAAACCCTAAACTATTACAACGCTTTGGCACAATCACATAAAAAGATGCAGGAAAGTCAAGTGTGGAACTTAATCTTAGACTATTACATCCCATAAGCAGTTACATGATAAAGAAAAAAGAGCAAAAAATAAAATCTAGACTATTACATTCGCGTAACTTATATAGTCAATCTAAAAAAATATAAAAGTAGGATAAAAATATAAAAGGAAAATATTTTTTAGTGATTTTTTATGAAAAATATGGTTTATAATAATTAATTAAACCCTATTAAATCTAATTAATTTTAATTTAAAAAATTAATTAATTAATTAAATTATTAAAATATTAATTAAAAACTAAACCCTAATTTATTTAAGAAAACCTAAAACTTAATTTTTGTATTTTAATTAAATGAGATAAATAATAAAATATAAAGGAAAAAAGAAAAATATAAAAAACGAATGGGCTTGAATCAGCAAAAGGAGGGGGTGTAAACTGCAATTGAATCTAGGCTCAAGCGTTGCTGGTCCATTAGATCTGGTGCGTTCAGCCAGGAGGGTGCATCGTAGGCTTGCAGATCTGGAAACGTTCGATGAGATCTATGAAGATCTGACGGTGAGATGTGTTCGGGTGCACGGTGGGTTTGTGGGACGCGCTGCACTTGATCTGCAAAATCTGAAAAATATGACAAAAGCACAAAAGGCATGGATCGAACCCACACCCTTGTATAGTAAGACCTTAACGCGCACTCGCTTGCCACTAGGGTGACTATACATCCGGTAATATTGATGAAATGAATTAATTATATTATAAACATTATTGCATGGGCCAGAGAGGCGCCAAAGTCCTAACTCCAGTCTTCTTCTCCGGTGATTCTTTTATCTTGTTCATGCAGAATAAACATAGTTAGTGATCCAAGGGTACCCTACCCCCTAAATCAACCCCTACGATTTAAATGGGACCATTGTTTTTGGATGATTCACGTTGGTTTGTAAGGTATGACAAAAATAATATGGATCGATGTAAGCATGCCAGTTCATGGTTCTGGTAGCATGGAGGCCATGTGATCGGTCTAACTTGTACCTTGAGATCTCAGAAGCATGTTAAATAAGTTAATACACATTAAAGGATAATGAAAGCAAAGATATGAATTCACAAAATATAGGGCAACCGGAGATGCATGGAATGTTGTTTTTGTATGGTTTAGATCACGAAGTTTGATCCATCCTTACCCTATTCCTCTTTAGGGATCGATTGACAGTGCTGGTATGCTTTGAAGGTGGCTACAACTAGGGTTTTAAGATTCCCCTAATTTGGATGATTTTTGAGATTTTTAGGATGGCTTTTTGTGCAAAGATTTTCGTGTGGCTCTTGTCTGAATAATATGGAATATATAAGGATGAAATTAGGTCAACCAGAGAATGGGCTTGGACCTTTGTAAGAAGCCTTGTTTTATTTCATTTATTTTGAATTTTAAATAAATAAAATCAGAAATGAATAAAATAAAAACCCAAGGGGTGTATGAGTAAGATCTGAGGTTCATCTTGAGGTATAAAACACACATGGACTTTCAATCACAAGCCCAATAGCCCAAAATTCCAAGTGTGATCACTTTTGATTTCATGCATTTGCTCAAAATTTCCCAATTTGCTCTAGTCATAATTCTCTCAATTTTGATCATTTGAGGGTGATCTGGGACTTTTTGGAAATCTCAAGATGTCCTCTACAATCTCTACTTTGACAATTTTTGCATTTGAAGACTTTATCTTGATTTATGTTGCCTTGACAAAAAGTGTCTTTTTGTTGACTTTTTAAATGACCTATAATGTATTGGCCCATATCTCTCAAATGAAGAATTTTTTGGACTTGAGCTTAGAGAGACAAAGTTGTAGAGAATTGAATTTCCTTCAAAATGAGTTTTGGTTGAGGAAAATCTGATGAAGCATGTGAAAGTTATGTTTGGTCAAAGTTCAGTTGACTTCTCCTTAAGAAACCCCTAATTTAGTAACTTTTGACTTTTGATGAATTTGGAGTTTTCTTGATGAGTCATGATCAACCCTTGATCAAATGATGAATATGACTTAAAAATATTTATGTTGACCAAAAATATTGATGTTTGACTGTATGTTGACCACAATTGACTTTTTGTTCAATATAGTTAATTTTATGTTATCTGAGCCATTGACTGGGCAAACTTGTGATGTAAGGCTTGAAACCTAGTATGAGCATTTTTAGGGACATATGAGGAATCATGAAATCCACTCGAGGCATTAGAAGTCCAATCTTTCTTGATAAAAGTGAAACTCTAGTTGTAGGTTAATTGCTGAAGAGGAGAATTTGTTTGATCAGTTCTTGAGCAACTTTGAGCAATTGAAAACCCTTGGAGAATGTGAAGATACCTTGAAGAAAAATGGGAGGGAAAATTTTGGGGTGCAACAATTCACTTTGAGAAAAGCAAGTTATGTGATGCATTGCATAAGGGAAACAAGTAAGGGCCTCTTTTAAATCCAAAAATGTTGTTTCTACAAATCAACCCTTACAACTTTTGCACATGGATCTTTTTGGACCATCAAGAACAAACATCTTTGACGGAAATATGCATTCCCTTGTAGATATGGATGACTATTATCAATATACATGGAAATTATTCCTATCTCAGAAAAGAGGCATGTTTGCTTCCTTTCAGAAACTCACATGGGCTATTCAGAATGAGAAAGGATTAAACATTGCATCGATCCGTAGTGATCATAGTGGTGAATTTATGAATTTGTGATTTATAATGAGTATGGTATTAAACATACTTTCTCCAATCCTAGAACTCCTCAATGGATAGTGGAGAGGAAGAATAAATCTCTAGAAGAGCTAGCCTAGATAATGCTCAATAAAACTAATCTTCCTAAATACTTTTGGATCGATGCGGTAAGCACTGCTTGTTATGTAATGAATTGTGTCTTAATAATACCAATTCTAAAGTAAACGCCCTATGAGTTATATAAAGTAAGGAAGTTGAATATATCTCATTAAATATCTTTGGATACAAATGTTTTTTCCTTGATAACAGGAAGGATAATCTTGGAAAATTTATTGCTAAAGCTAATGAATGCATATTTTAATATATTCCTCTTCTAAAAAGGATTTTATAGTTTTTAATAAAAGAAACTTGATGATAGGAGAATTAGTTCATGTTACCTTTGATGAGTCTAATCCATCTTCTTTAGCAGAAGATGTTGTTGAATGTGCATGTATTCTTGAGAAAACATCCATGGAAGAGGATGATCAGAATAAAGGTTTTCGTAGAAAGGAAGAAGAAGAAGAAGACAAAGGCCAGAGGGGACATTGAACAAGAAAAGGGAAAAGAAGAAATATAAAATTTTAGTCCTTGATTATACACTTAGATTTAATCAAGAATGTGAAAGAAGAAAATATCTAAAATAAGACAATCAAGAGATCCTCAAGCCCGTCGACCCGCCAATGATTGAATTATATGGGTTTACATCACCTACCCTAATGACAATAGCAGTTCTCAAGAAATAATCATGGAACACCTATTTGTAGGCCATTATCGTATGAGTGGTATGTTCCACATGGCAAAAGAGAAAGGAAAAATAAACTATTAAAGTTCCACCACATTATAACAGAGAGAATTCAAGGAACCAAAAGGAAAAAGAAAAGTGAATTTCCTATGTAATTAAAATTTCAAACATCGTGAAGTTCAAAGAGCGAAATAAAGAACAAATTGGACTAGAAAGCTACTTTCTGACTTCATCGATCCATGCTCGGGGGCTACATTGTTCTTGATTTGGTCAACACCCACTTTGTGATGGGCCAATAAGGGAACAATGTAAAGAATGAATGTGTCAGATTCATATTTGGACAGTCCATGCCGTTAAATCTACGAGACTCGTGATCTATGAACTTATGTCCTACATGACAAATGTCTCTTACAAAAGGTTCTAGGGACTTAAACATAAAAATCTACTATCAAAACCTAACGAGTGTCTCATATTCAAGTACACATTATTGTAATCCTTAAACCTCTCGATGTTTATAGGTAAAAATTTGTAGTTTTTCTTCTGATTTTTCCACAAAGTGGAGTATATGTGGCAAGGTTTTTTGCATTTTACAGAAAGTACAATAGATATACATGGACTTTTTCTCACCAATTAGTGTTGACCACAATCAAATTCTCCCACATTTTTTTTCTCTATTATGATTTTTGTAGTTGTTTTGAGAGGTTATACTAGTTAAATGTTAGAGAGAAAAAAACAGTTAATTTTTCAAATGGTAAATTATTAAAACAAAATTAGTGATTTATTAAAATTTTATTAGGATGTGAGGTCTACTTGTAGAAATGCCATATAAAATTATCCATCCAATCATTAAATTATGAAGACTTGTAGATCAAATCGGACCAACTCCCCAATAAACACTATAAATAAATATTTTAAACAAAAATCTTTTGCTAGTTACACCCCCTAATTGGACATGATACCAATTTATACCTAAGATTTTGCTAGTTACACCCCTTAATTGGATACGGTCCAAATTTCTAACAACACATGCTATTAACTAATCTACATCTCAAGAAAAAAAAATGTTCCATACATCAAATTAGCAACCATATACCTAAGAATAGGAACAAGTTATTACCATCCACATAACATTCATGGTCAAACCGTTTGAAGTGTCTCTCCTACAAAACATCATAACCTAAGAACCCTTCAAACAACATTAATCTTCCACGTAGCACCTTAAACATGTGGTAACAGTTTGAGAAATTCACATATAAATATCATAGTGCATGAACATTAACCTTCATCTCAAACTTGAAATATCATTTCTTATCTCAATCTTCAACCTTCAATCTTCAATACTTTCATTTCATTACATTTTTGAAAATGGATTCCCAGAAGATGAGCCACCAAGCTGGACAGGCCCACGGCCAAGCTCAGGAGAAGTTGAGCCATCATACTGGACAGGCCCAGGAGAGCTTGAGCCATCATGCTGGACAGGCCCAGGAGAGCTTGAGCCATCATGCTGGACAAGCCCAGGAGAGCTTGAGCCATCATGCTGGACAGGCCCATGGCCAAGCTCAAGAGAAGACTAGCAACTTGATGGACATGGCTAGCAATGCTGCTCACACTGCAAAAGAAACTGCTCTAGAGGTTGGAATTCAAAATTTATTATATAGCTGATCTGCATGAGTAAATATTTTTTGAGTTTAATAGACATGCACTGACCGTCTAAAATAATTTTACACTTTATAGTGTCGTCTATAGAGAAATCATTATTATGTTAGTGTGAAATTATTTTATCATTTTTTTTTTATGTAGGCTGGTCAGCATGTGAAGGCAACAGCACAAGGAGCAGCTGAGGCTGTGAAGAATGCAACTGGCATGAACCAGAATCAGAAGTGATGCAATTAAGCTTAAGGAACCCTAATAAAGGAGTTTTATTCAGTTTTTTATTTTTATTTTCTAGGGCATTATGTAGAAAGTGATGCTCTAATTTAGTTTGTTGCTCCTTATTAGGAGTCATGTGAATAATTCTTTGTTTAGACTAGAGAACTATGATTTAGTTCTCTTTTTATTCATTGATCAATGAAATATATATATTAGAATAATCAAGTATTTTTTTTTTATATTTATGTTTTTTAGTCATGAATGAAACTTTTAAAAGGGAACTAACTCAAAGATGTGTTTATATCAATCCTTGATCATGCCACAAGAAGGCAATTGAAAAACATCACAAAGTCTGCAAATCCTATCTCAACAAGTAGAAATCGATATTGTTAGGTTGAAAGTCATTAGTAAAATTTGAATCCTAATACTCACGCTTATGTGTGAGTTTCTAATAGTTATTACCTGTTTTCTAAGTAAGGAAAAAGACACCACAAATAATGTACCTATATATTATTCTCAATTATTGAATGTTAAATGGAAACCAAAGAACTATATATCTTAAAATAGGTTATTAACTTCAATGTAAGAACAACCTATATATAACTTTATTACTAATGATTTTTTCTTCACTTAGGATCTTGATAGATAAAACTCATAACACTATTAGCAGAAGTGATTCCACCATCAACAGAAAGATTATGAGCAGTCACAAATCCAGATTCATCACTAGCCAAAAAAAGCACAGCTTGTGCAACATCATCAGTTGTTGCACCTCTCCCTTTAAGCAAACTTGCATTCATACCAATAAACTCACTCAACTGTTCACTAGTCATATCAACCTCACCAAAACATTTAAAAGCATTCAAAAGCATCTCGGACGGAACACCGTGCGGCGAAACGCAATTAACACGAATCAAATGAATGCCTAATTCGCACGCCGCACTTCTCATTAGTCCTTCCATGGCTGATTTTGACATTGTATAAGCATGTGAAGCATATCCACCTATAGTTGCAGCTGCACTTGATGTGCAAATGATTGATCCTCCTTTTTTTCCTTTTATCATTGCTTTTGCAGCATGTTTGATTCCATGGATTGTTCCAAAGAGGTTGATTGAAAGTAAATGAGTTAGCTTTTCCATGTCAAGTGTTGTTATGCTTCTTCCTTCATAGCCTGCAACAAATAAACCTTATGAATTCGAAGATCCATAAATTTTAGCACTTAAGCTACCAAACAGATAAATTGTTAGCACTTAAGTTGCTAGAGCAAAACTCTGTATGATCTGACTCAACGCATAAATTGTTATCACTTAGTAGGATTTGAACCTGAAATCTTTAAAAGAGCATAGTCTCAAGTTTCGAGTCTTTACCAACACGAAAACGCTACTCGAGATGACTCATTAGTCATTATACTAACTAACTATACCTGCGATTCCTGCATTGTTGAACATTATGTCTAATTGACCTTTCCATGACATTGAAAGGTTTATTGCTGATTCAATGTCAGATTCTTTGGACACATCACAATGTATGTAGAGTCCATCAATTAATTCAGCAACTTTGGTGCCTTCTTCATCTAGAACATCAGCAATGATGACATGTGCTCCATTTTCTGCAAATAATCTTGCTGTGGCTGCACCAATTCCTCTTGCACCACCTGTTATAATTGCCACCTTACCTACTAGCCTTAAAAAGACGTCAAAACAAAGAAAAATTATTGAATTGATTGCTTGAAATCTAATAGTTTTAGTTGAAATTTCTTATAATATGATCGGTAATGAGCGCAATCTTTTTAAGTTGTGGTTGCAGTCAGGTCCATCTTTGAAGACGTGTAAGATTAACTATCACATAAAATCTAAAATTTGTCATAGTTTAACAGTGACTAATTAAATAAAGCTTAGGCCATAGAAAAATAAGGCCTCTTTTGTTTTTTCATAATTGAACGGTGATTAACCTACACAGAGTTTCTAAAAATTTAAGATGACTCTAGTTGCAGTGGAAAACTCCTTCATATTAATTGTGATATATGAATGCACTTGCAAACTAATTAGGTTGCAAAGACTCTAAACTGGAATATGTATCAACAAGATTACTAACCTTTTAGAAGCTGAATTTTGAGCTTCTTCTACATTCTGAATCTTATGTGGCTCCATTTTGTTCTTGCAATATGTCTTTTTCTTTTTTTCGGTTTTATTATTAAGCAATATAGATGGATATTGTAAACGGATCAATCAAATGTTATAGAACTGAAAATGCTATAATGGCTAAGTAATGCTTTGTGCTTTATGTAAACAATATATGAACATGCTTTTTCTACTTAATAACTACTTCTAAATATCTCTCTCTCTCCCCCTCTTTTTTTTTTTTTTTTTATCTTCTCTATTTTGAGTTTCTGGTTACTCTTATTCCATGCAAATGTCGTGTTCCAAATAAGCACCCTTTAAGAATTTTTTTTAGTGTTGATACCATTTAAGAATGTTAAATTTTTTAGTACATTAGTGTTGCCCTAACTTCCGTAATTACATGCAACTAATAATTACAGATTAATTACAAAATAGTTAGATAATAATTCTATCATGAATAGCTTATCTGATTGAAGGCCTACTCCATAACATGCACTTCATTTTCTTGAGCCTTAATATGTACTGGTTTTTTTCCTTATCTGTGAAATTCGATACGCTTCGCTTGACTAAATTGTTTGAGAAGGAGATAAGCACACGATCCAGTTTCTTGAACATAATTCATATTCTCTTTTGAAATATTAAATTAGATTTATTAAAATATTATATTTGATTTGATTTGATTTAATATTTAAATATATTTTAAATTGTGTATATTCAAGTTCAATTAAAGTTCTATATAAATAATCCTAGTATGTATTATTATTTGTATAATTCAATAATACAACTCATTATTTCCTTATTCTCTATATTTTCTCTTCACTAAAAGTGTCTCACGCACTAACAAATTGGTATTCAAAGCTTCCGGTTATTGTTCTTGATCAAGTTTTCAAGAATTTCACGTTAGAGATCGTGTTTTTAGGGCAAGTGAATCAACTATTGCGTAGATGGCTAATGATAAGGGCATTTCGAATTCTCTTCAAATGTTTGATGGTAAAAATTGGATCTGATGAAAAAAATATATGCAATTCTTGGTTGGCTTCCATGAAACCCTAGAAGTGGTTACGGGCGGCGTTTCTGCATTGGCTGCAAATGCAATCGGCGAACAGAAAAAAGCCCACAACAAAGTCAAAAAGAAAGATTACAAGGCTGCTTATTGAATTCAGACGGCGATCAATGCAGCTAATTTTGACAGAATCTCATGCTAAAACGACGAAGGAGGCATAGGTTATTCTGGTGAAGTATTATGAAGGAGGTGAGAAAGTTAAGGTTGTCAAGTTACAAACATTACGTCGACAATATGAGTTGTTGTCGATTGGAGAAGATGAAAAAGTTACAGAATATGTGTCGAAGGTTCATAAACTCGTCCATCTCATGAAGGGTTGTGGTGAAACCATAATTGATAAGATGGTAGTTGAGAAGGTAATGAGAACATTGACCTCTCACTTGGATCATGTTATCGTTGCTATTCAAGAATCCAACAATCTTGAAACAATAAAAGTGGAAGATTTGGTTGATTCATTGGAGGTGCATGAGATGAGAATTGTCGAAAGAAAAAAAGTTCAAGACTCAATACAGGCACTGCAAACTCAATCAAGGAAAAAGAATGGTGGTTCCAACAAGTTTAAAGGCAAATTCGACAAGACTCGAGAAAAGAAGTCTTGGTAGAATTCTCACAAGCATCAGGTTGAAGATAGAGCTTTTGAATCCTCGAAAAGAGGACGAGGAAACTATCGAAAGAACAGAGAAGATAAAAAAAGGTGTACATTACTATAGCTGTGAAAAGTGGGGTCACGTAGCCAATAATTATTGGTACAGAAAAGACAATGGATCGACAGGCAAGGACGAAGGAGCGAACCTTACATGCCAAGATTCAGATGATTCTGAAGGTGGTATGGTAGTTATGGATGCAGTTGCAGATAACCATGTTAAATCCAAGATCTGGTTCCTCGATTCAGGCTGCTCGAATCATATGACTAGTCGAAAGGAGTGGTTGACAGATTTTGACGAGTCAAAGAAGAGCAAGGTAAAACTTGCTAATAATAGTTCGTTGCAAGTAGAAGGTACTGATAACATAGTTTTTCAAATGAGTAATAAAGGGAAAGCTATGATTAAAGATGTGCTCTATGTACCTGGAATGAAGTGCAATCTGCTAAGTGTTAGACAACTGGTCGAAAATGGTTTCTCAGTTGTTATGAAAGATGGAGCTTTGAAATTGTTCAACATCAAGAACAATTTAGTCTTAAAATCTCCGTTGTCGAAGAACAAGACGTTTAAGACTACGATCAGTTCGACAGATGTTCAATGTTTGAAAACTGTTGTCGACCACAAGGATAGTTGGTTGTAGCATTTGAGGTTTGGACATTTGAACTTTCGATCACTTAATCAACTGATTACTCAAGACACGGTTACTGGTATTCCAAGTCTTGGGATGCCTGATAAACTTTGTGAAGGTTGTTTAGTAGGAAAGCAATCCAGAAATTATTTTGTTTTGACTATACCAATGAGATCATCCTGCATTCTCGAAGTGGTACATTCAGATGTATATAGTCCATTCGAAGAACATACAATTAGTGGAAACATATATTTTGTTTCATTTGTTGATGAGTTCAATTGAAATTTGTGGATCTATGTAATCTAGAGAAAGGACGAAATATTCGAAATCTTTAAGAGATTCAAGATACTTGTCGAAAACCAGAGTGAGAAAGGGATCATAGTTATACAAACAGATGGAGATGGAGAATACACTTCGAAAATGTTTGAAAATTCTGTGTAGAACATGGTGTTGATCATGAGGTAATTGCTCCTTATACTCCCCAACATAATGGAATTGCTGAAAGAAGAAACATAGCCATATTGGATATGGGGAGATGTGTGCTAAAACATAAGAATTTGCCAAAATCATTATGGGGAGAAGTTGTTTCGACTGCAGTTTATATTCTGAACAGGTGCTAGTTGCATCCCAAAATTTTCCCTTTAAGTCTTAATCAAAGTTAACCCAAATCTCACATTCATTCATCTCCACATACATCTTCAACTGCATCACAATAATTCATAGCATGTGTTCTCAAAGCATGGGATCACATTTTTTTCTCAAAATTAGGGTTTTAAAGAAAAAGGGCCCATCTCTCAGGAGTTTGTACCATCATGATCATCATTATCAAAGAATCCTCAATCATTGGGTTTCATCACTTTGGTTTAAAGAAAATTATGGTTTTGGCCTTCATTAGTGGAAAATCAGGAATTAGGGTTTTGTGGCTTGAAACTTAAGATTTAATACTTCAAAGTATCATCAATAGTTATCTCATGGTCATCAGACCATCTCAATGGTTTCACAATCACAAGATTACATTGATATACAAGAATGGAGTTCATTTGAAGAAAAAGTCAACTATAAAGTCAAACTTTGACTTTTTTGTCCAACAAGGTTGTATCAAGTCAAGGATCATGGAGTTATGGTTGGTATCATCTATTAATCAAGAAATCAAGAAAGAAGAATCAAAATCATGAATTTGAGTTAAGAATTTTACTAAGTATAATGAAAATCTATGTGTAAAATGTCATACTTTGCAAGGTCATAACTTCTTCATCAAGTCATCATTTTTCATGCTCTAATGCTCAACTTGAAGAGAATGACAAGTTCTACAACTTTGTCAATGTGGAATTATCCTAAAAAAATGCATGGATTAAGATATATGAGCCAATAAAGTTATGATCTCAAAATCCAATACTTAGAGAAATTTTTCATGTGTGTTTCAACTTCAAAAGTTACTCACTTTATGACCATTTTTCAACAAGTTCCCAATTGATTAATAAAAAGTGGTCAACATGAAAGTTGAAGAGGATGCTCTAAGATTTCCAAAATGTCCAAGAGCACAAATTTATCATGCTTAAGCTAGGAGATTCGAAGAGATGAAGTTGGACATTTTTACTTGAATTAGAGGTCATTTCTATGACAACCATAAGACCAAATCATCATGCCATGCTTAGAGATCTCACTTTGCAAGCCTCTAAAATTCTAAATCTTACCATAATCAGAAGATTACACACTCTTTTTAGCTATTATCCAAGTGTTCAAGCCATTGTCCAAGTGATCATTCCATTAATGGCACAAAGTTAACACTTCCATTTTGGAAAAGCAAGCTCTATCACAAAGTCAACTTCTTGAGCTCCCAACTAGTTTCATATGAGTACAAGTAATCTCAAAAGCAAAAAGCAAGCTCTGTGCACCCAACAAATCTAGATCACACTTGTTCTTACCCATTGGAACCACCTTTTTCACAAAGATTTTTCACTTCCAACTAAGCCATAACTTGTTATCTCAAGAATCTGGTTACTTCAATCTCTCAAACATTTTACCAATAAATAGAGAGATCATTTGCCAGCCAAAACACCAATTCACAAGCTCATAAACACCCTCAAACTCTCCCAGGTCAGAATTGGTCAAAAAACCTCCATTTTTGAACCTTGAAGTCCAAATCTTCGAATCTCATCAACCTTGAAACTTCTTTGCAAACCAACCATCCACACACCTTATATACATCATATAGAAGTTATTCAAATCCATGTTTCACTTATGTAACACCATTATCACCATCTTCCATTTTCACTTTTGAAAACTTACAACTTGACTTGGTCAGAGCATTCCAGCCACTCTCAAAGCAAAGTAAGGAATGCAATACACTCACTAAGGTTCCAGGAAGCTAACCATATCATTCATTTGCACTTTGAGCTTCTAGAAGAGGCGTTGGACTTTCTCCAACTTGGTAAAAATTTCAAACTTTTAACTCCTTATACACGTATTAATTTTACATACATTCTGAAGCAAAAATGTAGATATGATGACTATAAAACTAACCATGTAATTGGTTTTCATTAATTATACCTGTGTGATGAGAATCATGTCTCTGAAATTTTCTAGGGTTTGTTTGGTACCAATGAAATTTGTGCTCATCTTTGATTTATAGCCTCTGAAAATTACATCATTGAATTCCTAGTGAAATTTTAGACAAGTTTGGTCTTTACAATTTTTA